GTAGAGACGGGGTTTCTCTCTGTTGCCCAGGCTGGTCTCCAACTTCTGGGCTCAAGGGATCCACTTGCTTCCGCCTCCCAAAGTGCTGTGATTATAGGTGTGAGCCACTGCACCTGGCCGACTAGTTTTTTGTTTTTCTATCAGTAATTTTTTTAAAGATTCAAGTCCAGAAAAATGTTTCACATTCTGGTTTTGCCTTATTGTTTCCTCAGGGTTAGAGTCACATTAAACAATTTTTATTAAGAATATGGCTGGGTGCGGCGGCTCACATCTGTAATCCCAGCACTTTAGGAGGCCAATAAGGGTGGATCACTTGAGGTCAGGAGTTTGAGACCAGCCTAGCCAACTCGGGGAAACCTCATGTCTAGTAAAAATACAAAAATTAGCCAGGCACAGTGGCGTATGCCTGGAATCCCACCTACTCGGGAGGCTGACGGAGGAAACTCACTTGAACCCGGGAGGTGGAGATTGCAGGGAGCAGAGATCATGCCACTGCACTCCAGCCTGGGAGACAGCAAGACGACGTCACAAAACAAACAAAAATAATATGACCGTATAGTTAAATCTATATACTTCTTGTTGCCTCAAATCAGGAGACATATAATTTTTCCTCAGTACTGCGGAAGCTAAGTTTGGTCACTTGGAGGCGGCAATTGCTGAATCTTTGCAATGTAAAGACACCTCTCCCTTGTACTTAAATAATCTATAGGGTCATACTTTGAGATCATTTGAATAGACTGCTTCCCGATGATGTTACTTCTAAAGGTTTGAGCATCCACTGACAATTGCCAGAATCACTAAACACACTAAGGGTTACAGAATGGTGATTTTCCTTTTCTTTTTTTTTTTTTTTTTGAGATGGAGTTTCGCTGTTGTTACCCAGACTGGAGTGCAATGGCGTGATCTTGGCTCACCATAACCTCCGCCTCCCGGGTTCAGGCAACTCTCCTGCCTCAGCCTCCCGAGTAGCTGGGACTACAGGTGCACACCACCATGCCCAGCTAATTTTCTGTATTTTTAGTAGAGACGGGGTTTCGCCTTGTTGACCAGGATGGTCTCGATCTCTTGACCTCGTGATCCACCCACCTTGGCCTCCCAAAGTGCTGGGATTATAGGCGTGAGCCACCATGCCCAGCCAAAATGATGATTTTTCTAATTCTACCATTATTTTTACATTTATCAGCTGGCATTCTTTTGTAAAGACAAACTTTCTCCCTTTCCTTCTTTTACTTGTTTCATATGAGCAATATTCACACACATATAATATGTATTTATTTTTGCTTGTTTTGAGACAGAGCCTCAACTCTGTTACCCAGGCTGGAGTGCAGTGGTGTGACCCTGGCTCATTGCAATCTCCGCCTCCGGGGTTCAAGCAGTTCTTTTGCCTCAGGCTCCCAAGTAGCTGGGATTACAGGCACCTGCCACCACGCCCAGGCTAATTTTTGTATTTTTAGGAAAGACGGGGTTTCACTATGTTGGCCAGGATGGTCTAGATCTCTTGACCTCATGATCCTACCACCTTGGCCTCCCAAAGTGCTGGGATTACAGGTGTGAGCCACCGCGCCCGGCCTCTAGGAGATTATTAATAGCAGGAGTGGGGAGGTAGGGGTGGAGAGTAGGCAGTCTTCTGTCTCAAAAGGTTTTCAATAGATGAAAGGCATCTATTGTGGAAAAAACATCCCTCAACGAATGTATATTGGCAAGAGAGAAAAGTGTATGCTTAGCTTGAAACTTTAAAGGCCCAATTCCTATTGTTATTTAATAGGCATGCATGTAGAGATCAGAAGTTTAAATCTTTTTTGGTTACTTTAGATTGTGATTAAACAGACTTACAAATAGTTCTTTGAGGAAACTGATTTTTAAGAAAAGAAGTCTGGGTATGAATTAGTGAGAGACATACAGAACAAACAAAAATGGAGGTAATTATTAACTCTAGGGGAAGCAAGAGCTGTATAAGAAAGGAAATGTAGGGCCGGGCACGGTGGCTCACGCCCGTAATCCCAGCACTTTGGGAGGCCAAGGCGGGTGAATCACGAGGTCAAGAGATCGAGACCATCCTGGTCAACATGGTGAAACCCCATCTCTACTAAAAAAAAAAAAAATACAAAAAATTAGCTGGGCATGGTGGCGTGTGCCTGTAATCCCAGCTACTCAGGAGGCTAAGGCAGGAGAATTGCCTGAACCTAGGAGGTGGAGGTTGCGGTGAGCAGAGATCGCGCCATTTCCCTCCAGCCTGGGTAACAAGAGTGAAACTCCATCTCAAAAAAAAAAAAAAAAAAGGAAATGTAATTCAAAGCATACTTCTTGGTTCATGTGAGCAATAGTCATACAGACATAGGAAGGTATACACTGAATGCTGCTTCAATCAATTTAATATTCTATTGGTTATAACAGTTATCATGAGGGATTGAGGGAAAAACAAAGTATAGGTAGGGCGTAGTGGCTCACACCTGTAATTCCAGCACTTTGGGAGGCTGAGGCAGGTGGATCATGAGGTCAGGAGTTCAACACCAGCCTGACTAAGATGGTGAAAAATTAGCTGGGTGTGGTGGCAGGTGCCTGTAATCCCAGCTACTTGGAAGACCAACGCAGGAGAATTGGTTGAACTCAGGTGACAGAGGTTGCAGTGAGCCGAGATCACCCCACTGCACTCCAGCCTGGGCAACAGAGTGAGACTGTCTCAAAAACAAACAAACAAGCTTAGAAATAATAAATGCCAGAAGGCTGGGCACAGTGGCTCACGTCTGTAATCCCAGCACTTTGTGAGACCAAAGTGGGTGGATCACCTGAGGTTGGGAGTTTGAGACACGCCTGACCAACATGGTGAAACCCTGTCTCTACTAAAACTACAACAATTAGCTGGGTGTGATGGTGCATACCTGTAATCCCAGCTATTTGGGTAGCTGAGGCACGAGAATTGCCTGAACCTGGGAGGCAGAGGTTGTAATGAGCCGAGAATGCACCACTGCACTCCAGTCTAGGCGGCAAAGTGAAATCTTGTCTCAAAAAATAAATAAAGGTCTGCTGTGGTGGCTCATGCCTGTAATCCCAGCACTCTGGGAGGCCGAGGTGGGCGTATCACCTGAGGTCAGGTGTTCAAGAGCACTCTGACGAATACGGTGAAACCCTGTCTCTACTAAAAATACAAAAATTAGCCAGGGATAGTAGTACGTGCCTGTAATCCCAGCTACTCAGGAGGCTGAGGCAGTAGAATTGCTTGAACATGGGAGGCAGAGGTTGTAGTGAGCTGAGAGCACACTACTGTTCTCCAGCCTGGGGGACAGAGTGAGACCCTATCTCAAAAAAAAAAAAAAAGAAGAAAATGGGTAAGGGACACAAACAGGCAATACACACAAGAAATAAAAATGTACTGGGGGCCGGGTGTGGTGGCAGGTGGCACACGCCTATAATCCCAGCACTTTGGGAAGCTGAGGCGTGTGGATCACCTGAGGTCAGGAGTTTGAGATAAGCCTGGCCAACACAATGAAACACCATTCCTACTAAAAATACAAAAATTAGCCAGGTGTGGTGGTGGGCATCTGTAATTCCAGCTACTCAGGAGGCTGAGGCAGGAGAATCTCTTGAACCTGGGAGGTGGAAGATGCAGTGAGCCAAGATCAAGCCATTGTACTCTAGCCTGGGCAACAAGAGTGAAACTCTGTCTCCAAAAATAAAAAGAAAGAAAAATAACAAACAAAAAAGTATAATCCTAATTCTAATTCAACCAAGTACCTGAATTGGCAAGGCTCAAAACTGAACTCATTATTTCATTCGATGAATGTCTGAGCACCTACTAAGTGCCTGGCACGGTGCCAGTTCCTGGCACAAAGATAAAGATGTCAACCTTGAACTTGAAAGGTGTTTGTGGATCTGCAAATATATGTTTCTGCTTTATATGTCATATTAAGCACTAATAAGAGCCAGTCACTAAACTAAGAACTTCATGTACATTACCAAACTATCATTCAATTAATGTTTACTGAGCACTTACTTTTTGACACTGCACTATTTTTGTCTATATATAGACAAATAGGCTGGGCACAGTGGCTCCCGCCTGTAATCCCAGCACTTTGGGAGGCCAAGGTAGGTGGATCCTTTGAGGGCTGGAGTTCAAGACCATTCTGGCCAACATGGTGAAACCCTGTCTCTACTAAAAATACAAAAATATGAGCCGGGTGTGGTGCCATGTGCCTGTAATCCCAGCTACTTGGGAGGCTGAGGCATGAGAATTGGTTGAACCCAGGAGGTGGAGGATGCAGTGAGCTGAGATCATGCCACAACACTCCATCCTGGGTGACAGCGTGAGACCCTGTCTCAAAAAAAAAAAAAAAAAAAAAAAATTAGCCAGGCATGGTGGTGTGCACCTGTATCCCAACTACTTGGGAAGTTGAGACACAAGAATCGCTTGAACCCAGGAGACCAAGGTTACAGTGAGCTGAGATTGCGCCCCTGCACTATAGCCTGGGGGACAAAGCGAGAAACTGTCTCAAAAAAAACCAACAGACAAATACAAACATGGTCCCTTCCCTCATGAAGTTCACAATCCAGTGGTGAAGACAGGCATGAGTCAAAAGAGCACAAACACATAGAAAGGAACATCACCACACAGTGTTGTAAATGTACAAAAAGTGAAGACGGCCCAGCTGAGGCTCAGGGAGGGCTTTCCTGAGGAAATACCCAGCTAATCCTGAAGGATGACAGAGGGTAATTAGTTCCCAGGGCAAGCTGGAATAGATAGGAACCAGGAAAAGCATTTCAGGCATTTTCCATCAAAAAGAGGTATTACTGGACCAGGCATGGTGGCTCAGGCCTGTAATCCCAGCGCCTTGGGAGGCCAAGATGGGAGCATTGCTTTTAGTCCAGAAATTTGAGACCAGCCTGGACAATATAATAAGACTCCATCTTTAAGAAGAAGAAAGAGAGAGAGTTCTTCAGAGCAACTGACGAAACAAGACATTTTTCAGATCAGAATTCCCTTGTTAAGGCTTCTATTTACTTACTGAAGAAGTGAAGAGGAGTGAAGAAAGACATCACTCAAAGTCTCTGCTGTAGAAACTGTGACCTGAATGGACTTCGGGAGTAAAGACCACTTTTGAAGTAGGTATGATTTCCACTCAGCCACAGGCAGATCCATGCTGCTCTAAAGCTATAAAATGAAGAAGAAAATGGGAATCTTACAAATGCACAATTCAGAAAATCAAGACTTCATTCAAGGAAGCCTGAAGCAATAAAATCACTTCTTGTGGTCTTTTACCATAATCCACTAAGAAAGGATCTCTATTATCTCACAGCAATTTGCTCAACACCCTTCCATTCAGAAACATTTACTGAAAGACTACTTTATCACAGGCACCGTACAGGTGATGGTTATACAAAGATGGAAGACTAAACAGCTACCATCTGTGTCCTCTTAGATCCCCCCAGTGTCCTTTTTTGTGTGGTTTGAGAGACAGCTTCTCTCTCTGCTGCCCAGGCTGGAGTGCAATGGTGTGATCTCAGCTCACTTCAACCTGAGCTTCCCGGGTTCAAGCAATTATTCAGCCTCAGCCTCCCAGTAGCTGGGATTACAGGTGCACCACCACACTCGGCTACTTTTTATATTTTTAGTAGAGACGGGGTTTCACCATGTTGGCCAGGCTGGTCTCGAACTCCTGACCTCAGGTGATCTGCTGGCCTGAGACTCCCAAAGCGCTGGGATTACAGGCGTGAGCCAAGGCGCCCGGCCTGATCCCGCCTTGTTTCTCAACTCTGAAACTTGAGACAGATCCAGATTTTCCTTTCTCCCCCCCCCAACAACTATTCAATTAACAGCTATTTCTCTCTCATAGTTCAGCGTCCTCTTTGAACCCATAGGCCATTTCTTCGCTTGAAGTCTTTACCATCTGTTGTCTGGTATTTTTCCCAGAGGGTCGTAATTAGTGTCCCTGCCCTTGGGACCACTCCCACTCTCAATCCAGCCTCCAACACTAAGAAGTCAGTGCTCCTCCTAGCATCCAGGACGCCCAGGTCGAACCCGTTCTCATTTACCCCTTGGCTGACCTTCTAATTCTAGGCCTCACTTTTCCCTCTACACCCCTGCATACTCAGCCACTCACTGCTGTCGGGCTTGCCAGACTACTCTGCCTCTCCGGTATTTTCGCATAGGCTATTCACGCTTTGCGCACCAACCCTATCCTCGCTTATGGAGTCCACCTGGAAAACCTCCACACGTCTTCGACGGTGTGCAAATGGCACCTCCTCTGAGAATGCTTCCCTGATTTCCCAGCTGTGATTCCAACACCTTTGACCTCCCAGGTTCAAGCAATTCTCGTGCCTCAGCTACCCAAGTACCTGGGATTACAGGTGTGCACCACCACACCCAGCTAACTTTCGTATTTTTAGTAGAGAGGGGGTTTCACCATGTTGGCCAGGGTGGTCTCAAACTTCCGACCTCAAGTGACCCACCCACTTTGGTCTCACAAAGTGCTGGGATGACAGACATGAGCCACCGTGCCCAGCCTTCTGGCATTTATTATCTCTTTTTTTTTGAGACAGAGTTTCGCTCTTGTTACCCAGATTGGAGTGCAATGGCGCGATCTCGGCTCACCGCAACCTCCGCCTCCTGGGTTCAAGCAGTTCTCCTGTCTCAGCCTCCCGAGTAACTGGGACTACAGGCGCGCGCCACCATGCCCAGCTAATTTTTTTGTATTTTTAGTAGAGACGGGGTTTCACCATGTTGACCAGGATGGTCTCGATTTCTTGACCTCGTGATCCACTCGCCTTGGCCTCCCAAAGTGCTGGGATTATAGGCGTGAGCCACCGCGCCCGGCCATTATTTCTAAGCTGTATGATGCACATTTGCTGTCCCACGTCCACCTGGAGGTAGGGCTACTCACGGCATAGACTGCCCTCACAGACTGTACTCTCCTCGGAGGATCGGGCCCAGGTCTTCGCAGACCCCTGCAGGTGCCAAGCTCAGGGTCTGACCCGGGCGGGAAGTCAGCCCCGCGCCGCTGGAGGAAGGAGCCGAGTCACTGCTGCGACCACATTTGGCAGCAGAGGTCTCGGGGAGCAGCTCTAACCCCTGGGCTGCCAATCCGAGCGCCCACCACACGCCAAGGCGGGAACGCCTCCGAACGCCGGCCCTCGGCGCCCGGAACTGGGCCCGGAGCTCTCTCCCCGCGCCCGCGCAGCTCCAGGCGCACCCCTTGTGGCGTCGCCCCGCCCCGCCTAGCTCGGTACTGAGAGAGGGTCACGTGGGCCGCGCCTTGGCCAATGCGGCGGCTGCGCAGCGCCGGGCCCGCCCCTGTGCCGCGCGCACGTCGGGGGCGGGAACGGCGCGCGCAACCCCTCAGGCGGGTAACTGCGCAGCGCTCGGGACCCGGGGCGGTGGGAAGCTCGGGTTGCCGAGGGGTTCGCGCGGGAGTCGGTGCGGAGGAGCCATGGTCGGCCAACTGAGTGAGGGGGCCATTGCGGTGAGGAGGCGCCGGGGGATCCGGGTGGCTGCGGCCCGGGAGCCTGCAGGAGTGGGGAGGGGGAGGGGAGCCCGGGGCGAAGGGGGTGAACGCGAGGGAGAAGTGGGGGACGGTGGGGGAACGCGGGGCGCCCCTCCAGTCATCACTCCTCCTCAGAGCATTCTTCCGATCGTCTTTGAAACATGCTCACGTTTTTCGTACTTAAGAACTAACTACACACTTGCCTTCCATCTTCCACCTGCGGCCACTTTCTCTGTCTCTTCCTAACTACAGGCAAGCTCCTATTTGTCTGGTTTCAGCCACTTCTTTTCCTCGCCTCTCATGAACTCTTCAGCCCACTCCAGCCATCTCCTTGATCGCTGTCGGAAACTCTGGCTGAAGTTACCAGTGGCCTCCAATTTGCCAAATCCAGCACTTTTCCGTTTTCGGCTTACCTGAGTTCTCAGTAGCGTTTGCGTTTGAGCACCGCTTCCTTCTGATCACACTAAAACACTGAGTTTTAGTGGCTCGGTTTGGCGGGTCTTTCCCCGTCTTATTTGCAGGCCCCTCTTTGCAAATTTTTATTGACTCCAGGCTTACTATAGGCCCTCTTGACTCCCAAGGCGATTTCTTTTTCTTTTCTTTTTTTCTTTGAGACAGAGTCTCACTCCGTGCCCCAGGCTGGAGTGCAGTGGCGCGATCTGGTTTTACTGCAACGTCCGCCTCCCGGGTTCAATTGATCCTCCTGCCTCAGCCTTCCAAGTAGCTGGGACTACAGTTGTGCACCACCACACTTGACTAATTTCTGTGTTTTTATTAGAGATGGAGTTTCACCATGTTGGCCAGGCTGATCTCGAACTTCAAACTTCAAGTGAACTGCCCGCCTCAGCCTCCCAAAATGCTGGGATTGCAGGCGTGAGCCACTGTGGCTGACCCCAAAGCAGTTTCATTGCCATCTATTAATATATGTCATTGCTCACAAATTTTATACGGAGCCACCTTTACTCTAAAAGACGAACTTCTGTAATCTGTCTGCTGATTTCATGCTTCAGAGGCATTTGAGTTCAATATACACATCCCAAAGCAAATTCGTTATCTTGGTAAAGTCTGGGCCTCTTGATCCCTATCCCGGTGAATGACACCATTATCTGTTCAGTGCTAACCAGAAATTGAGAAATCATTCCTTCTATATTCTGCACCACCTGGCGTCCAGTCCAGGTGAAGTGTATTTTACCTCCACGTGGATCTCTCAAGACTGTCTGCTGCTCTCCAACCACACGGGCACCGTCATCTTCTGCCTGGACTGCTCACTTCCACTCTGCGTTCCTGCCACCATTCCCATCCCTAGCATATTCTCTCTTCCTGTTCTCTCTTCCTCTCCAGTCACCCCACTTTTTTTTTTTTAATTTAGATTTCTGGTATATTCCATACTCCTACCTTCTTCCATGGGGCCTTTGAACATTCTTTTCCCTCTGCCCACTGCCTGGGTGGTTCACTCCTCCCAACACTGGCAAATACAGTCTTCATATCTCAGCTCATTTGTGACTTCTCCTACTAGGCTAAATTGAGACACCAATTTCTTTTCATTCACATTTTTTTTTCTTTTTGCAATGGGGTTTCGCTCTGTTGCCAGGTTGGAGTGCAATGGCACGATCTCGGCTCACTGCAACCTCCGCCTCCCAGGTTCAATTGATTCTCCTGCCTCAGCCTCCTGAGTAGCTGGGACTACAGGCATGTGCCACCGTGCCTGGCTAATTTTTATATTTTTAGTAGAGACGGGGTTTCATCATGTTGGCCAGGCTGGTCTCGTCGAATTCTGACCTCAGATGATCTGCCTGCCTCAACCTCCCAAAGTACTGGGATTACAAGTGTGATTGCACCTATTTTAAGTGTACAGCCTGATGAACTTTGACAGATGTATGCACCCCTCTAACCACAATGCCCCAGAATACTTCATTAATGTGCAGTTCCTCCTCCTTCCCCACCTCTGTCTTCACCCTAGGCAACCAGTCTTCTGGTTTCTATCTCTATGGGTTAGTTTTGACTTTCTTAAAACTTTGTATAAATGGAATCAAATAATATCTACCCTTTTATATCTGGCTTCTTTCAGCAACTTTTTGTTTTTCAGAAGTAGGATCTCTGTTACCCAGGGAGGAGTGCAGTGACCCAGTCATGGCTCACCTGCAGCCCTGACCTCCTGAACTCAAGTCAAGGCATCCTCCCACCTCAGCCTCCTGAGTAGCTGGGACTACAGATGCGGGCCACCACTCTCAGCTAATTAAAAAAAAAAAATTTCTGTAGACATGGGATCTTGGTATGTTGTCCAGGATGATCAGGAACTCCTGGGCCCAAGTAATCCTCCCACCTTGACCTCCCAAAGTGTTAGAATTACAGGCACAGTCCACCACTCTGGACCAAAATGGTTTCTGAGATTTATCCATGTTAATTCAGTAATTTGCACCTTTTTTTTTTTTTTAAGGCAGAGTCTCATTCTGTCGCCAGGTGCCAGGCTGGAGTGCAGTGGCGCAATCTCGGCTCACTGCAATGTCCGCCTCGTGAGTTCATGCAATTCTCCTGCCTCAGCCTCCGAATAGCTGGGACTACAGGCTCGTGACACCACACCCAGCTAATTTTGGTATTTTTAGTAGAGACGGGGTTTCACCATGTTGGTCAGGATGGCCTCCATCTCTTGACCTCCTGATCCACCCACCTCAGTCTCCTAAAGCGCTGGGATTGCAGGTGTGAGCCACCTCGCCCGGCCCTAATTTGCACTTTTTTATTGCTCAGTAGTATTCCACTGTATGACTATAACACAATATTTACTTATTATTGGACATTTGGGTTATTTTCTTCTTTTGGCAATTATAAATGATGCTATGACCGTTTAAGTACAGATCTTTTTGTGGAAATAAGTTTTCATTTCTCCGGGACAAGTGTCTAGAAGCGTAATGTTCATAGGTGACTGAATGTTTATAAGAAACTGCCAAAGTTTTCCTGTGTGGTTATGAGAATTCTAGTTGTTCCATATCCTTGCTGGTCATCAGTCTTTGATGTTGACCCTTCTAGTGAATTCGTAATGGTATCTCACTATGGTTTTAATTTCTATTTTTCTGGTGACTAATGACTTGGAGCATCTTTTCATGGGCTCATTGGCCATTTGTATATTTTTTTTGTAATGTGTCTGTTCACATATTTTTTTCACTTAAAGACTGGGTTTTATGGCTGGGCGTGGTGGCTCACAGCTGTAATTGCAGCACTTTGGGAGGCTGAGGCGGGTGGATCATGAGGTCAGGATCAGGAGTTCAAGACCACACTGGCCAATATGATGAAACCCCGTCTCTACTAAAAAATACAAAAATTAGCTGGGCATGGTGGCTTGTGCCTGTCATCCCAACTACTCGGGAGGCTGAGGCAGAGAATTGCTTGAACGTGGGAGGCAGAGGTTGCAGCGGGCCAAGATCGTGCCACAGCACCACTCCACCTTGGGCAACAGAGCGAGACTCCATCTCAAAAAAACCCAGAAAACTGGGTTCTGTGCTTATTAATGAGTTGTAATAATTCTTTGTTCTTGATATGTCTTTTGTTAAAACATACATTTTCTCCCAATCTGTGACTTGCCTTTTCTTTTTTGAAATTTTGTTTTTTGAAGTACACTTTTAAATTTTGATGAAATCCAGATTATCAGGGTTTTTTTTTGCTTTTGCAGAATTGTGTTTTTGTGTCCTAAGAAATCTTTCCCTACTCTACCCCAGGTCACAAATCTTTTATAGTGGTATTTTCTTCCAGGAGTTTTATAGTTTTAGCTTTGCCTTCTGGTCTATGATGCATTTCAGGTTTACTATTTATGATATATAGATCTTTTATTTTAATATAGATACTCAGTTGTTCCAGCCTGTTTATCGATAAGACTATCCCATTCCATTGAGTTACTTTGTCACTTTTGATAAGATCAATCGACTGTATATGTGTATATCTGTTTCTAGAATGTCTGTTCTGCCATTCATTTCTATGTTGATGCTTATGTCAATACTACATTGTCATAAAAATTGCAGATTTATAGTAAATCTTGAAATTTGGTGTTGTAAATCCTCCAGCTTCTCTTTCTTTCTTTTTTTCTTTCTTTTTTTTTTTGAGATGGAGTCTCGCTCTGTCACCCAGGCTGGAGTGCAGTGGTGCCATCTCCGCTCATTGCAACCCCTGCCTCCGGGATTCAAGTGATTCTTTTACCTCAGCCTCCTGAGTAGCTGGGATAACAGGCATTCGCCACCACACCCAGATAATTTTTGTGTTTTTAGTAAAGATAGGGTTTCACTAAGTTCTCCAGCCTGGTCTCAAACTCCCACCCTCAAGTGATCCTCCTGCCTCAGGCTCCCAAAGTGCTGGAATTACAGGCGTGAGCCACTGTGCCTGGCCTCCAGCTTTCTTTCTTTCTTTTTTCTTTTTTTAGACAGACTCTCAGTCACCCAGCCTAGAGCACAGTGACATACGTGGTCATAGCTTACTGCAGCTTTATTTCCCTGGTCAAGTGATCTTCCCACCTTACCTTCTGAGTAGCTGGGACCAACACGCCCAGCTCATTTTTTTTTTCTTTTCTTTTCTTTATTTTGACACAGGGCTTCACTGTGTCACTCAGGCTAGAATATGGTGACTCCATCGCAGCTTACTGTAGTCTCTGCTTCCCAGGTTCAAGCAATCCTCCCACCTCTGCTTCCCGAGTAGCTGGGACTACAGGCGTGTGCCCAGCTAATTTTTGTATTTTTTGTAGAGAGGGTTTTGCCATGTTGGCCAGGCTGGCCTCAAACTCCTGAGCTCAAGGAGTCCTCCTATCTCAGCCTCCCAAACTGCTGATCCCTTTGCATCCATTGAAGTACAGAGAAACAAAGTGTAACAAAAAAAAAAAAGAAAAAGAAATGAAAACAGATATTTGTGTGTGTTTTGAGACAGGGTCTTGCTCTGTCACCCAGGCTGGAGTGCAGTGGTACAATCATGGCTCACTACAGCCTAGACCTCATGGGCTCAAGCAGTTCTCCCTCAGCTCTCTGAGTAACTGGGACTATAGGTGTGCACCACATGCCTGGCTAATTTCTTATAGAGACGAGGTCTCCTTACGTTGCCCAGACTGGTCTCAAACTCCTGGGCTAAAGTGATCCTCCTGCTTCCGTCTCCGAAAGTGCTGTGATTGTAGGTATGAGCCACCGCATGCAGTCTTGTTTGTAGTTTTCAGAGTGCAGGTCTTAACATATGTACTGTTAAAATATATGTAAATGCTTTACTTTTGAGGCTGGGCATGGTGGCTTACGCTTATAGTCCCAGCATTTTGGGAGGCCAGGGCAGGTGAAGTACCTGAGGTCAGGAGTTCGAGACCAGCCTGGCCAACATGGTGAAACCCCATCCCTATTAAAAATGTAAAAATTAGCCAGGTGTGGTGGCAGGTGCCTGTACTCATAGCTACTTGGGAGACTGAGACAGGAGGATCACTTGAACCCGGGAGGTACAGGTTGCAGTGGGCGGAGATTGCACCACTGCTCCCTAGCTTGGGCGACAGAGTAAGACTTCATCTCAAAACACACACACACACACACACACACACACGATGGTGTTTAAATGGCATTTTTGAAAATTTCGTTCTTCAGTTGTTTATTGCTAGTATATTGAAATACAAGTGATTTTTCCATGTCAGCCTTGTGACCTGCAAACTTGCTAAATCAACTTATTAGTTTTTATAGATACTTTAGGATTTTCTATGTAAACAGTCATACTGCCTGCAAATAAAGGAAGTTTTATTTGTTCCTTTTTAATCTTTTTTTTTGTTTGATAGGAAGTCTCATTCTGTCACCCAGGCTGGAGTGCAGTGGTGCAATCCCAGCTCCCTGCAATCTCTGCCTCCCAGATTCAAGTGATTATCCTGTCTCAACCTCCCCAAGAGCTGGGATTACAGGCATGCACCACCATGCCCAGCTAATTTTTGTATTTTTAGTACAGACACGGTGAAACTTTTTAGTTTCACCGTGTTGGCCAGGATGGTCTCGAACCCCTGACCTCAAGCAATCTGCCTGCCTTAGCCTCCCAAAGTGCTGGGATTGCAAGCATGAGCCACCGTACCCAGCCAGTTCCTTTTTCATCTTTATGCCTGTTTTTCCCTTGCTTTATTGCATTAGTCAGAACCTCTAATACCACATTGAATACAGTGCTGAGAGGTATATCCTTGCCTGATTCCTGATCTTAGTAGCATATTATTGTCTTTTACCATTAAGTATGATGGTGACTTAGATTTTTTTTGTAGATGTTAGCTATCAGTTTAAGCATTTTTTCTATGCCTAGTTTGCTGAGACTTTATAATAAATAAGTGTTGCCTTTTCTGTATCTATTCAGTTGATAATGATTTTTCTCTATTCTGTGAATGTGAAAAATTACATTGATTTTTCAGATGTTGAGTAAACCTTGCCATCCTTGGATAAATCACACTTGGTCATGACATATTATCCATTTTATATAGTGCAGGATTTGCTTTGCTATCTTATTGAAGATTTCTTTTTTTTTAAACAGAGTCTTGCTATATTTAATAGATACAGAGCTATACAGATTTTCTACTTTTTTGTATCACTTTTGATAATTTGTATTTTTTGAGGGATTTCTCCACTTAATCTTGGTTGTTTATAAAGTTGTTCCTCATATTCCCTTACTGTCACTTTAATATATATAGGATTTACTTATCTAACTCCCTGTTAATGAACACTGGAGGGAAGTTCATGTGCTGTTGTGATTCCAGTGTTAGAAATGCAGTGAATAGATCCTTGTTGAAAAACACGAATCTCCCTCTTACTATTTTATGATTTGTCCAGTGTGGTAAACTAGACATTTTGGCTGACAGGCTCTGAATAGGCTCTTTTAGCAATCTTATCTGTAGTTTATTCCAAATACCGAACTATGGAAACATGTCGTTTTCACCATGATTTGTGCACATATCTCACACAAATCTGTTTTTTGCTCCTTCAGGTCATAATGCAGCAGCAGGATACATCCATCAAACCCATGCTCCAGGTCATTGTAAGTACCCACATATGTTTCATGTCAACTTTTTTTGTAGCCATAGAATTATAAATTCTGTTCAATGAAGGACAGACAGATTTGTCCACTTTAGGAAATTCCCCCCATCGTCACAGAAAATAGGCCAGTCTACATTGTAACCCTGAGAGAGGAGCCAGGCGTTTTGAAAAGAATGTTATGTCAGCTGCCGAGTTCCACTGTCTTGGAGGCTCAGATCTAAGGCTTGGCCTTGCTTTTCTTTTCCACTGCTGGCACACAACTGTGGTGCTACTTGCCTTTCTGCCCTTGGGTCTGTCTGGTTCACGTCGGCCTTGTATACGACCTCCAGAGATAGATCTAATATGGACTTATCTCCTTAAAATTCTTCAGTTAACACATCATTTATTTAAGGGGTTCTCACACTTCAGTGGGAGTTTGAAAAAATGGAGGCAGCATGTGGGCTCATGCCTGCACATTTTCAGGCTGCCAGTCTGATGGGCTCTCTGCTGCACTCACTCTAGCTGCCAGTCAGTTGGAGGCTGTGGGTACAGGTTTCATTTCCTGTGGAGACCTGCTTCTGCTCTCTTTCAAGTGGGAATAAAGGTGCGGCTCTGCCACCTCATCATCATGTGCACATGTTACTTACGTCCCTCTGTGTCCATCTCCACCCCAGTTGTCAGCCCCTCAGGACAAGGGTTCTTTTCGTTCACTTTGTATTGTTAGCATGTTTACTACACAGCACCTTGTGTATACCAGGTACCTGGTTATTTATTTTTTTTTTTGTAATTGATTTTCAGCCAAATTGGAGTCATGGCTGAGAACACAGAGTATAGGCAGCTCGTTTTACTTCCCTCTGTATTGCGTTTAATAATGTTTGTGGAGAGAGGTTAGTGGGAAAATAATCAAATCCAATTTTCTTTTACCTGGATTTAGGTGTCAAGAGAATGGGCAAACAGTTCAGTTAGTGTTGAACTAATGGCAAAGCCACTCTCCTGCCACTGAGGTGTACTTATCCCTGGGGACAGGGCAGACATGCTGGCTAATGAATCAAGTTTTCTGTTTTAGAACATCCGTCCCATCACCACAGGGAACAGTCCGCCACGTTATCGACTGCTCATGAGTGATGGATTGAACACTTTGTCATGTAAGTATGGGGTATCCATCTAGAAATGTGTGAGTGTTTAAGTGATAAAAGCACACCCAGCCCTTTGGTTGCCATAATTTGTGAGGTCCATGTTTGCCTGGCTGTGTCCTTCATTCAGATGGAACTGCAGTTGGCAGAGATCATTCTGTCAGGAGACTGGAGGTGGTGGGAAGCTGCCACTTGGCTTAATTAATTTTCTCTAACTGGTGTTCTATGTTTTCTCTGATTAATTTCCCTAAGAATGATATTGACATTTAGACATTTAGTGAGTATGATGGGTTAGCTGTCCTATACTTTCCTATTTTGGAGTTTTATTTTTGTGTTGGAAGCTGTAAAGGAGAGAAAGGAGAGAATTTAAAAATGATTTTGGCCACTTCAACAAATTCACACATTTAAGAGTAGCGGCAAATGTTTAACAGCCAGCAAAATAGATAGTTTTTCACTCTGCAGAGTCTGACTGGTTTTAATTTCAGGGACATTTAAGGCATTATTCTTCTTTGCCAACACAGGTTGAGTAGCTTTCAGATTCTTTAGGCTGCAGGATTTTGGAGGCTAAAGAAATCTCTGCCTTTCAGCTTTCATGTTGGCCACACAGTTGAACACTCTTGTTGAACAAGGACAATTGGCCAGCAACTGCGTTTGCCAGGTTAACCGATTCATTGTGAACACCCTGAAAGACGGAAGGTATGTGGTGTGCTTCTTTCTGTCTTACTGTGTTGTAGAGTGGGAACTGATTTTGAACAGAAAAGTATATCGGTTGCCAGAATTCAATTAGGAGTAAAAAAGACAGTTGTGAGTTTTCACCTAAGAATTTGCATCTGTTCAGTTAAGAACTCAGGTTGCGGCGGGACGCAACAGCTCTCACCTGTCATCCCAGCACTTTGGGAGGCTGAGGCGGGCAGATCACCTGAGGTCAGGAGTTTGACACCAGCCTGACCAACATGGAGAAACCCTGTCTCTACTAAAAATACAAAATTAGCTGGGCGTGGTGGTGCATGCGCCTATAATCCCAGCTACTCGGGAAGTTGAGGCAGGAGAATCGCTTGAACCCGGGAGGCGGAGGTTGCAGAGAGCCGAGATTGTGCCATTGCACTCTAGCCTGGGCAACAAGAGTGAAACTCCATCTCAAAGAACTCAGGTAGGTGACACATGGCACCAATGGAAGAGAGATATGGAAAGAAGTTGGAAATTTCAGAGCAGAAGATTAAAGTAGAATGCAGACATTTTATTATTTCTAGTTTCTTCAAAAGCAGTATTTTTAGGATTTCCCCCAAAAGTGTCTTATCTTTTTTTGTTTGTTTTTGGTAGAGACAGGATTTTGCCATGTTGCCCAGGCTGGTCACGAACTCCTGAGCTCAGGCAGTCTGCCCACCTTGGCCTCCCAAAGTGCTGGGATTACAGGTGTAAGCCGCCACACCTGGGCTCAAAAGAAGTCCCTTATTTTACAGCAGAAAGTGATAATTATTTTGTAATGCTGCTTTTTTTTTTTTTTGGCAATCTTGAATTTTTTTTATATTAAATGCTGTATTTAGCCAATATAGAATATGTGGAACCACATGTAGTAGGTCACACCAATAACCCCAGCACTTGAGGGGGCTTAAAGTGGGAGGATTGCTTGAGGCTGGGAGTTTGAGACCAGCCTCAGTGACATAGCCAGACCCTGTCTCTACAAAAAAAAAATGTTTTAAATAAATTAGCCAGGTGTGGTGGCACACGCTACAGTCCTCCCTACTTGGGGGCTGAAGTGGGAGGATTCCCTGACCCTGGGAGTTGAGACTGCAGTGAGCTGTGATCATGCCACTGCACTCCAACCTGGGCAACAGAGCAAGAAGCCATATCTGAAAAAATAAAACAAACTTAGAAAAAGAATATGTTGTACACAGACAGGTTGCTGCATGCTAGAGACACAATGATGAACAGAACTGTTATTGCTAAAAAATGACTTAGTTTAGGCAAGGTGCAGTGGCTCACACCTGTAATCCCAACACTTTGAAGGCCACATAGGGAGGTCACTTGAGCCTAGGAGTTTGCAGCCAGCCTGGGAAACATAGTGAGATCTTGTCTCTACAAGAAAAAAAAAAAAAGTTAGCCAGGCACGGTGGCATGTGCCTGTGGTCCCATCTACTCGGAAGACTGAGGAGAGAATTGCCTGAGCCCTGGAAGGTCAAGGCTACAATGAGCTTGGATTGTGCCACTGCACCCCAGACTGGGCAATAGAGTAAGACCCTGTCTCAAAAAAAAAGCAAAACATCAACAACAACAACAAAAGATTAAAAACTATCAACAGTACTAAGAGGTTCAAGTAATTGGTTTTTAAAAATTGTTACACTGATTTTAGGACTCTTACATTTTCTCCAGTTCTTTTTTCCTACCTCTTTAATTTTGATGTCTAGGTGGGTTGGATTTCACTCAAGAACTTTTTTTTTTTTTTTTTGCCAATTAGTTTGAGCTTATGAGGTTGCTCAGGTTAACCTTGAACTGATGACCTCGCCTTCGCGAGCGCCATGACCTCCGGCGGGAGCCACTTTGGACCCCCTCAAGAACTTTTTTATGGAATGGCTCTTTAATCCTGTATTCCCCATTATCAGCTTATTGGCCTTTATGCTAGAGTGACAGCTTTGCCTGGCTGTCTGTCCTTAGGTTATGTGGCTTTACCTCAGAATCTTGTCTTCTGGCATTGAATGTGGATCTGGAGAAGTCTTAAGGCCGGATTGATTCGATTTCCTCCCTTGTGGAAGGCTTTTCTTTTTTATCTTTTTTATTTAGGTTTATTTTATTTCTGGTTGCCCAGGCTGGAGTACGGTGGCACTACTAGGACTGGCTGCAGCTTGTACCTCCTCGGCTTAGGTGATTCTCCCATCTAGCCTCCCAAGTAGTCTGGACCACAGGCACACACCACTGTGGCCGGCTAAAAAGCTTTGCTTTTTCTACCTATATTCCTGAAGATTTGTTTCTTTATGCCTCAGGTTTAGTACTTAACCAGGCTGTCTCAATCGCAATTGGCCATATTCTTTTTTTTTTTTTTTTTTTTTTTAATTTTCCTGGCATGTTATATGCTCTTTCAGTCTGCAGATTCAGTTCTTTTAAAGAAATTTTTCTCTGTGTTATTCCTTAATACTGTTTTCTATTAGTTCACTTTAACCTTTTTTTTTTTTGAGACGGAGTTTCACTCTTGTTACCCAGGCTGGAGTGCAATGGCGCAATCTCAGCTCACTGCAACCTCCGCCTCCTGGGTTCAGGCAATTCTCCTGCCTCAGCCTCCTGAGTAGCTGGGATTGCAGGCACGTGCCATCATGCCCAGCTAATTTTTTGTATTTTTAGTAGACACGGGGTTTCACCATGTTGACCAGGATGGTCTCGATCTCTTGACCTCGTGATCCACCCGCCTCGGCACTTTAACCTTTTTTTAAATGCATGCATTGGCTTGCCTCAGGGTTTTCCAACATAAGACTACAGTTTTTAGCTTTCTCTCTTCTGTTCCTCAATCTTTATAAATTGTTAGATGTATAATATTATTGATTTTGTTCTGATTTTTTCTGTATATATATATAGAGAGAGAGAGAGACACAGAGAGACAGACACGGAGTTGTTCCATGTTGGTCAGGCTGGTCTCGAACTCCCAACCTTAGGTGATCCTCCCACCTCAGCCTCCCAGAGTGCTGGGATTAAAGGTGTAAGCCACCGTCCCGGCCTGTTCTGATTTTTTCTTAGCTGCTCAAGCTCCCCTTACTTCTTCATCTCTTGTTTGAGCTCATCTTTTGGCTGTTACTTCGTTGCATTTATACTGTGCTTACTTTGTGAAGCGGGGCTTCTTTTCTTGGCTTCTGCTTTCTTCTCCAGTGGGTTCTTGAATGGCTTCTGCCTCCCCATCCTTTCACTTTCATGCATTGTTGTGTGTTGTATTGTTGCTTTAACGTCCCTTTTTATTTTGCTCCTGCTTAATGTGGACGGTCCTGTCCAGACTTTGTATTTGCTCCATACATCTTGCCAGCTTTCTCACGTGGGACCTTTTGTCTTCCACTCCAGGCTACTTTTGAGTGCTTAAGTGGTGCTTTCCATGGTGTTTGTGTCCTCCAGGGCATGGCTGTGGGAGAGGGGGCAGAGCCTTGCTGGGATTCAGTGCAGTCCTTGGTGAGAAGCTCTTCAAGCCGTTCTCCCAGTCAAGGATGCGGTTCCCCTCCCATGGGCTCTGCCTGACTTCCCACCTCAGCTTAGCGACGTGTCCAATATTCTTCTGTGCCTCTGCTGAGAGCCCGTGTGTATGGCTGGGCTTATTTACTCCTTGCTTAAATAGTGATCATGTAGGTTTATTCTAAACAGGACTTGAGCAGTCATCCTTGTACGTTTATCATGACATGTTTATGCTTTCATTTCTGAAGAATAGATTATTAGAATTTGTGTTGTGGGGTCACAGGACAGCTGTGGAAAGTATACCAATTATGCTCAAATTTTATATGAATGTCTGTTTCTGAATGAACAAATCCACAGAAACAAATGCAATTATTGGTTCCCAGGGGCGTGAGAGTGTGGAGCGGCTGCCACCGTGTGCAGGGTTTCTTTTGGGGATGACAAAAATGTTGTAGAGTTAGGCAGTGGTGATGCTTGTGTAACTGCGGATATGTAGCACCCATGGGATTGTACACTTTGAAGGGTGAATTCATTATAGTACATGAATGATACCTCAGTATAAACATGTTAGTTTTAAAAGAAATGTTTTCCATTAAGCTTGTCAACATACTGTGTATTAGCAATTTAAAAAAAATAATTATTGGTCGGGCACAGTGGCTCACACCTGTAATCCCAGCACTTTGGGAGGCTGAGGCGAGCAGCTCATCTGAGGTCAGGAGTTTGAGACCAGCCTGGTCAATGTGGTGAAACCCCATCTCTACTAAAAATACAAAAATTAGCTGGGCGTGGTGGCACTGGGAAGGCTGTGGTAGAAGAATTGCTTGAACCCGGAAGGCAGAGGTTGCAGTGAGCCGAGATCATGCCATTGCACTCCAGCCTGGGTTACAAGAGTGAAACTGTCTAAAAAAAAACAACATAATAATAATTATTATTATTGTTTTTGCCAAATAATTGACCTCAAGGAGATCAATTATTTTAATTTAAGTTTCCCTGTTGGGTCAGGTGTCTTTTCATATATTTATTGGCTGATACAGTTCTTCTCTGTATAGTTTATTATATACTTGTCCTTTTTATATGCTTTGATGGTGCATGCCTGTGATCCCAGCTACTCAGGAGGCTGAGGTGGGAGGATTGCTTGAGTCCCACAAGTCAAGGCTGCAGTGAGCTATGATAGTACCACTGCATTCTAGCTCAGGTGACAAGGCCTTGTCACAAAAATAAATAAGCAAGCAAAAGTCTTGTTGGAATGCAAACGACTGTCTTAATTTTATATAATATTTGATATTAAGTCTTTTCATCCAAGAAAATATTATGTGTCTATTTGGTTTCAGATTTTCTAGATACACAACTGCATTATCTCCTTATTCTAATATTTGTCATTTTGTTTTTTGTATTTTTAAAATTTAACTGTATTGGCCGGGCTCAGTGGCTCACGCCTGTAATCCCAGCACTTTGGGAGGCCGAGGCAGGTGGGTCACCTGAGGTTGGGAGTTGGAGACCAGCCTGGCCAAGGTGGTAAAATGCCATCTCCGCTAAAAATACAAAAAATTAGCAGGGTGTGGTGGCAGGAGCCTGTAATCCCAGCTACTTGGGAAGCTGAGGCAGGAGAATGGCTTGAATGTGGAAGGCAGAGGTTGCAGTGAGCCGAGATTGTGCCACTGCACTCCAACCTGGGCAACAGAGTGAGACACTCTCTCTCTCAAAAAAAAGATAAATCATTTTAGCTTGTTCAGTTTTTTTCTCTTTTTATTTTTAAAAAGCTTTATTCTGGAAAATTTTAAACATCTACAAAAATAGAATACACAGTAGTCTGATGAGTCCCCATGTAGCCCATCATTCAGATTTGTCCCTGTGGCCCAGTTTTGCTTTATAGCCATCCTTTCCTCATCTGCTCTCTGTAATTTTGAAGGAAATCTCAGATGCATTATTTCATCCCTAAATATTTTTGGAACATAAGAACTCTTAAAAAGACACAATACCATTTCACACCTAAAATAACAAATACCCTGTCAGTGTTATATTTACAGCTTTTCGTGTGTGTGTGTGTGTGTCAGCAGATTGATGGCCGGTTAAGTCTGAATCGTAGGCTCTGCGTCTACCTTGTTTCCTCCCTTATTGTTTATCTGCTGAAGAAACCAGGTCATTTATCCTTCTGCTCATGCAGTTTCCCACAGTCTGGATTTGGCTGATTGTGTCCCTGTAAAGTCATTTAATGTGTCCTTGTCATCTGTATTCTCTGTAAGTTGATATTGGTGTATTCTTTTAATATGCTGCTAGATTCGTCTTGCTGATATTTTATTTAGGATTTATGGGATATTACAGAATGAAATTAGTTTTAGTGTTTTGTGTGTGTTTTGTCTTAGGTTTTCGTATTAGAGTAATACTGAATGATTCATAAGCCTTCTATTTTTCTATGTTCTGGAGTGATTTGTATAATTTTGGAAAGTAGTTAAATATCTACTACTAAGTAGCTATCAGATAGTTGTTACAGGGAATCCGTCATTTTCAGGAACAGATAATTCCCAGCTTATTTTAGCATAACTCTGATGTGAAACCTGATAAGGGTAGCACAAACCGATTAATTGTGCGTAAAAATCCAAAATACAGCCATCAGACGTTGAAAGTGTAAAACATGATGAAATTGGGTATATTATTGCTTAAATACTGCTCTAGGTCAGTTTCTTCGTCTCCACTGCCACCAACCTCATTCAGGCCATTATCATTTCATCTCTTTGGGTCTCCCTTCCTCCACTTGTGTTCCCATTAAATTCCTTCTTCATGTTTTAGTTCCTTTTAAAGTGCGGACGTGATTGTGATATTCTCATCAAGTATGTATTGAGCAACAACGTGGGCCATTTGCTTCATTAAGCACTGGAGGATACCTGCCTTATTGACAGTACAGTCTAGTAGGAGACAGACAATAATAAAATCATCACTAATGAACATATGATTAAGATGGAGCAGAGCGTCGTGAAGGAAGGAAATCATGGCTGTAGGAAAGACTGGAGCAAAGTAACCAGATCTAAACTAGAGATTAAGGAAGTGTCTCTGGAAGTGATGTTTGAAATGAGAGCAAAAAATGAGTGTGAGGTGTAGCAAAATGTGCATGAACACAACTCCACACCCTTAGAGCAGCACGGACAAAGGTCTTCTGGCAGGAGGGATCGTCACATGTGCGGACCTGAAAGAAGACGGGGAGTGCAGAGGGCATAGCGCAGGGCAGCAGTGGGGATGCACTGGAGAGGCGTTAGCAAGGCCAGGCCAGCCATGGCAGAGGTCTTTATTTTTGGCCAAGGATCATTGGGAAGTTATCAAAAGGTTTTAATCAGAGTTAAAATCAGTCAGAGAACTGTCAGTTCTTAAAAATAGGTCATAGTTATATATTTTAAAACGTCTATTGTCATAATTGGTTTTCACTGGGAAAAAGTCATTCACTTAGAGAAGTATGTGTTTCTGAAAACAGGCCGTCTCTTTTTATGCCGCATATTCTCTTATTTAGTAATCTAAATTCTTACCATGTCAGTTGCTCCTTGAAGATACGGTACGTAGCAAGAACACTGCATTTTAATTAAGGAACTAGATGGAAAATGAAAACCCTGCAATCATAAAAAGCCTTGATAATGATGCAGTGAAAGATTAAGAGAAATATTTATGAAAACAGATGACAAAGAGGAAATAGTTTTATCAAAATGATCATTGGGAAAAGCATTTTGAGTAGCTTATCATTTGAACTGAATTTTTCTGACTTGTTTCTATTTGTCTGCCTTTGCAGGAGAGTAGTTATTTTGATGGAATTAGAAGTTTTGAAATCAGCTGAAGCAGTTGGAGTGAAGATTGGCAATCCAGTGCCCTATAATGAAGGTAAAATAAAATGCTTTTACATAGGTTGTGGCACTCAGTTGAATACTGCTTTATATATTCAGAATTCTACCTTTTGGATGCACTTCGACTTGTTCGTGTTGATAAAATGATAGTGGTTCAGGGCTCTAGGAGTCAGGTTTTTTCAATACTGAAGAAATGATGTATGAAGAAAGGGCACGATGAGAGAGTAGTGGGCAAACGGAGTGGGCAGGGTGGCTCGCACCTGGAATCCCAGCATTTTGGGAGGCCAAGGCGGGTAGATCACTTGAGGTCAGGAATTAGAGACCTGTCTGGCCAACATGGCAAAACCCTGTCTCTATTAAAGATACAAAGATTAGTCAGGCAGAGTGGCACGCACCTGTAATCTCAGCTACTCGGGAGGCTGAGGCAGGGCAATCGCTTGAACCCAGGAGGGGAAGTTTCAGTGAGCTGAGATCACACCACTGCACTCCAGCCTGGGCGATGGAGCAAGACTCTTGTCTCAAAATAAGAAAGTAATGGAAAAAGACTCAGTTATAGTAGACTAAAAAAATAAACACCTAGGATATTATCGGATAGCTGTAATATTAATGAGAAATGTGTTTTCCTAAGATGTATCTAATGCACACTTTTGTTTTTAGAAAGTGTGAAGCATGTGGTCTGTATGACTGGCAGCTTTTAGAATTATCTGTTTGTTGCTAAGCCGTAAGTAAACGCTGAAGGTAGAGATCATGTTTGTTTTAGTGCCTAACTTGTAGCCAGCCTTTAATCAGTTTTTGCTGAAACAAGTTGAATATATAACATTATGTTACTGTGATTATCTTCTATGTTGAAATTACTAATGATTTAATTTTCTTATGAAAATGTATAGAAAAGCACAATGAAATGGGAAAAAAGTCCATTATTTTTTCTTTGCATCCTGGAAAGCTGAAAAACTTTCATTATTTTAGACCAGAGAGACAATTCCAGAGAAAGGCAAAAAGAATCTTTAAATCACTGGCCCCAGTGAAGGGAAAGATTGGTTTGCCCTTAGGCAAAGTCAAAAAGTAAAATAAAAGCCTCACTTTACACCAAAATAAATCCGAGATGTACTTTTTAAAGTTAGAAAATGAAACCATCAAAAATTCAGAGGAAGAGGCTGCACAGATAGATTGGAATAATTCACAATGAATATTTGATTAAATTGAAATTTTAAAATTATGTGTTAAAAATAGGAAACCAGGCAAAGTGCCTCACACCTGTAATCCTGCACTTTAGGAGGCTGAGGTAGGAGAATTGCTTGAGTCCAGGACGACCCCATCTCTACAATAAGTTTTTAAAAACAGCTAAGTGTGGTGGCTTGCACCTGTAGTCTCAGCTGCTTGGGAGGCTGAGGTGGGGGGATTACTTGAGCCTGGGAAGTTGAGGCTGCAGTGAGCTCTGATCGTGCCGCTGCCCTCCAGCCTGGGGGACACAGTGAGTGTCTGCTGTTCCCCACTGCAAAATTAAAGGTATGTAAACTTAAACTAGGATAAAATATTTGCAACTGATAGGATTGACAAAAAAATACTGTCTTTACTATTTATGGAATTTTTTACATATTAAGGAAAAAAGTACTTCAGTAGCAAAGCAGGCATTGGAGAAAAAAATAGATTGTCCTCTGTAGAAAGAAAACAAATGGCTAATACGTTAGAAAAACTCTTCACACTGGCTGGTTATCTTTGCTTTCTTCCTGATCTTAGGGAGAAAGCATTCAGACTTTCACCATTAAACATCATGTTAACTGTAGGTTCTTCTTAGCATCTTTTTATCAGAAGTAAAGAAGTTTATTTGTATTCCTAGCTGCTGAGGGCTTTCATCAGAAATGGATGGTGAGTTTTGTCAAATGCTTTTTGTGTGCTTGCTGATGATCTGATGATGATCATGTGGTCTTCTTTGTTGGTTGGTTAATATGGTGAGTTCCATTGATTGTTGTTTTCTGGTTTTTTTTCTTTTTGAGACAGTCTCACTGTCACCCAGGATGGGATGTGATGCCTTCTTGGCTCACTGCAACTTCTGCCTCCTGGGTTAAGTGATTCTTGTGCCTCAGCCTCAGAGAAGCTGGGATTACAGGCGTATACCACCATGCCCAGCTAATTTTTTTTTTCTTCTTTTGTATTTTTAGTAGAGACTGGGTTTTGCCATCTTGACCAGGCAGGTCTGAAACTTCTGACCTCAAGTGATCCACTCACCTCGGCTTCCCAAAGTGCTGGGATGACATTGCGCTTGCCCACAGTGATTGATTTTCGAGTGTTAAACCAATCTGGGACGTCTGGGATGAGTCTATGTCGTGATAGATGATGTCTTACTCTTTTTTACATATTGTTGGATTTTATTTACTGAGTCCATTTGATTTGGTTTACTTTGACTAGAATTTTTGTATCTATATTCATGAGAGATATTTTTCTTCTGTTTTCTTGTTATAACTCTGATTTTGATATCTGAGTAACCCTGAGTTTATTAAGTCAGTTGCAAACTGTTCCGTTTTAAATTATCTGCTGCACGTTATGCAGACTTGGTATTACTTCTTCCTTAGGTGCTCATTGAATTCACCAGTGAAGCCATATGGGCCTGATGTTTTTTCTTCATGGAAAAGTCTTAAACTCTAAGTTCAGTTTCTTAATAGAGAGATATAGGGTTATTTAGGCAATCTTTCTTCTCGAGTAGACTTTATGTGCTTCAAGGAATTTAATCATTTCATTTAAGTTCTTGAATTTATTCGTTTATAGAAATAAAAATATTTTAAACACCCTAATTATGAGAAATTATCCGATGGGTTAAAAAAATATGTTTCCAGCCAGGTGCAATGGCTCATGCTTATAATCCCAACACCTTGGGAGACCAAGTCAAGCCGATTGCTTGAGCTTAGGAGTTCAAGACCGGCCTGCACAACAGGATGAAACCTAGTCTCTCCCAAAAGTACAAAACATTAGCTGGACCTGGTGGTGCTCTTGCATCTTCAGTCCTAGCTACTTGAGCCCAGGAGATGGAGGTTGCAGTAAGCCGAGATGACACCACTGCACTCCAGCCTAGGCAACAGACGGAGACACCATTTAAAAAAGTGTGTGTGTGTGTGTGTGTGTGTGTGTGTGTGTGTGTGTGTTAGTTATCCTTTGAGTATCTGTAGAATTTGAGAGTTTATCAATTTTATTGATCTCAAAGGAACAACTTTTGGTTTTATTGATTTTTCTCATGTTTTATATTCTATTAATTTATGCTTTTGATCTTTAATATGTTTTTCTACTTTGGGTTTTGTGTGTTCTTTTTCTTGTTTCTTAAGATGGCAGCTGAGTTTATTGATTTGAGATCTTTTTTTCTAACATAGGCTTGTAGCATTATAAATATACCCTTAGCTACTGCTTTAATAGCATCCAGCAAATTTGAATATGTTATATTCTGATTCGTATTCACTTCATAAGACTTTCTTATTTCCCTTTCAATTTCTTCTTTGACATTCTGTTATTTAGAATTATGTTTAATTTTTAAATGTGGGGATTTTCTCTTTTTTTCTTTGTCGTTTTGTTTTGTTTTGTTTTGTTTTGTTTTTTGAGACAGTCTTGCTCCGTCATCTAGGCTGGAGTGCAGTGGCACAATCTCAGCTCACTGCAATCTCCACCTCCCAGGTTCAAGCAATTCTCCTGCCTCAGCTTCCCAAGTAACTGGGTCTACAGGTGTGTGCTGTCATGCCTGGCTAATGTTTTGTATTTTTAGTAGAGATGGGGTTTCATCATGTTGGCTAGACTGGTCTCAAACTCCTATCCTCAAGTGGTCTGCCTGCCTCAACCTCCCAAAGTACTGGAATTACAGGCATGAGCCACTGTGCCCAGCCAAATGTGGGTATTTTCCAGAGACTTTCTTGTTATTGATATATAATTAGTTCCAGTTTGATCAAACAGCATACTTTTTATGACTTGAATTCTATTAAATATATTGTCTTATTTTATTTTGTTTATTTATTTTTAAGACAGAGAAGCACTCTTTCACCAAGGCTGGAGTGCAGTTTCATGATCTCAGCTCACTGCAATCTCCACCTCCTGGATTCAAGCAATTCTCCTGCCTCAGCCTCCCAAGTAGTCCCAAAACTTAGCTGGGACTATGGGTGCCTGCCACCATGCCCAGCTAATTTTTGTATTTTTAGTAGAAATTGGGTTTTCCCATGTTGGCCAGGGTGGTCTCGAACACCTGACCTCAAGTGATCCACCCACCTCCGCCTCTCAAAGTGCTGGGATTATTGGTGTGACCCACCAGCCCAGCCTTGAGTCTTATTTTATGTCCAGATTGTGGTATCTTTTGGTAAATTCTGTGTGTGCTTGAATATGTATTCTGTTGTTGGGCAGAGTGTTTTATAAATATCGATTAGGTCGACTTCGTAAATTGTGTTATTTAGTTTTTCTATATCCTTACTGTTTTTCTGTTTACTGTTCTGTCAGTTGCTGAGAGGGATATTGAAATCTCTAACTATAATAATTATAAGTTTCTCTGTCTCTCCTTGAAGTTCTATTAGTTTTTGCTTCATGTATTTTGAAACTCTATTATTAAATATCTATATAATTTAGGATTCTTATATCCACTTGAATTGACTGTTATTATGAAATGACTTTGTTTATCCCTGGTGAAGTTCTGTGCTTTGAAATCTGCTTTATATTAGCATAGCCACTTTGGCATTCTTCCCCTCTCTCCCTCTAGAGACGAGCTCTTGCTCTATTGCCCAAGCTGAAGTAGTACAGTGGTGTATTGCAGCCTCAACACCCTGGGCTCAAGCCGTCCTCCCACCTCAGCCTCCTGAGTAGCTGGGACTACAGGCATGTGCCGCCAAGCCCAGCTCATTTTATTTTTTATAGACATGGAGTCCTTCCCAGTTGCCACATTGGTCTTGAATTCCTGGCCTCAAGCAATCCTCCTGCCTCAGCCTCCCAAGTAGCTGGGACTTCAGGCTATACCTGTAGTCCAGGAAGTGGAGCACGGGGGCTGCCCGTGGACTACCTAGACTGTGGCTACCGTGC